GTTGGCAGGCGCTGGGACCGAGCAACGGGAGCGCACCCCGCCGCAGGGATTCGAACCACTGACCTTTCGATTGGCAAGCCCTAGGCACTGAGGCTTTTACCCACAGCGCCACCCGCGTCCCTCTTGGTTACTAACCTTCATATGAATCCTTAAAAAATGTCTCACTCTCTCAGTGTGGAAAGCAGCCTTTTCGGAGCACTGGAAGTTAAACCCTGTTATCTCTTTTGCCACAGAGATAATGGGATAACCATGGGGAGGAAACATGGTGGACTTGGCACCTCTTCGACAGAGATAGTTTTGTGGTGATTAATGATGGCCAAGCCATACCATAAACCACTTACTTTCAACTGCTAGAAGTGCCATAACTAGACACTGGAGGGATCTCTCGGTAGTGAACACGGATCACTGGTACCAAACTCTTATGGGAAACTGCCCTACTAGAATAGCTAACTAACAAATTGAAGTTAGCATGGGGACAAACACAGGAGGGCACCTTCACCCCAGTATGGCTCCCCTAAATTACATATGCAAGCCAACAAGACAATAACCAATCCCCTACAACAGCATAGAAATCAGCATGGTTAACTTGACCCAACAGTGCGCGCGCGCACACACAAACACAAAACCCCACTGCAACCAACCACACCCTGGGCCCCCTGGACTCTCAATCCACCAGCAAAAAGAAAGTATCTGTTTACAGGATGCTGACACAAAACTTTTGCTTAGGGTATATACTATCTGAAAGAATGAAACTTTACTATCTTCCCTTTCCCTCCCCGCTCTGTTCTCCTGTTTTCCCTCAACCCTATATTGCCTATAACAGCAATATCTCACTCTGAATATGACTGATTTGTTTGAACGATTCTATGACTTGAAAACAGAGACTCTATATGTTCTATTTTTACCCAAGAAAACTCTTTAATAAAAAAATACAGTGGTACCTCAGGTTAATTCATTCCGGAGGTCCGTACTTAACCTGAAACTGTTCTTAACCTGAAGCACCACTTTAGCTAATGGGGCCTCCTGCTGCTGCCGCACCGCCGGAGCCCGATTTCTGTTCTCATCCTGAAGCAAAGTTCTTAACCTGAAGCACTATTTCTGGGTTAGCAGAGTCTATAACCTGAAGCGTATGTAACCTGAGGTACCACTGTATATGAAAAAGTATGTATCTAAAAAATTATGCACCCACTTCTCTGAATTTTGCCCTAAAGAAAGAAGCAGCATGTATTAGGAGAAACTGCACATAAAATGCATGTATTGGTGAAAATAGGAAACATGCACTATATTATCTGTGGGTTGTGTCCAGGTGAGTTTAATCTGAGTAGACCCAAATGAATGTTTAATGTGTGGGCATCCAGTGAAGCTGAATGCTGGATGATTCAGGGAAAATAAACGAAATCGTTTTTCTATGCTGTGCAGAGTTATATTGTGGAAGTCATTCTCACAGAAGACTTGGATAGCTTTAAAAGATGATTGGACAAATCCATGGAGGGCATTGATAGCTACTACCATGGTTGGAGGCAGTAACTCTTATGTACTGCATGGAAGTTAGTCACGTCCATGATTTTCAAAGGATCTACTCTGAGTAGGACTAGCATTCAATCCAATCCAATATATTTGTGATTTTAGCTATATTTTGGTAACATGTGGTGCCTGCAATTTTTTTAAGTCTGTTTTTGATGAATATTTTACCTCGTTTTCTGCAAACTGCTTTGAGATAATGGTGATGATAGTTTTGATTAAGCAGTATGGAATAAATGGTATTAGGGAAATTCTGCATACCATAATGTATATATTGGGCAGAATTGCACACGGGGGGAAATGCAGATGCATTTTCATGTGAATGTTTGTAGTTAATTGCAAACTAGTGCTTCTGGGCATCTGGTTGGCCACAGTGAGAACAGGATGCTGGAGAAGATGGGCTACTGGCCTGATCCAGCTCCAGGGCTTTTCTTATAGACATCTGTTGTGATAGCAGAATCTCTAAGCCCAGGGGCTTAGGGGGTACTTTCTAAGGGTACCTCTCAATACCAGTTGATGGGGAACAACAACTAGAAAGTGCTGTTGTGCTCAGGTGCTGCTTGTGTGTTTTCCATAAGTCTGCAAGGCTCTTCTTAAGTCCTTATGTAAGATTGGAAAAATGGGAAAGAGAGAATCTGGAATTGGTAAAAGTGATTCATCCAGAGTCTTCAGATGTTGGCTGCAAATTCATTTTTTAAAAAATAAAATACTGCAAGATGGTATAGAGCATATAAAGTTACAATAAGATAAATAAAAACATCAATAAAAACTGGTTGGGATAAAGAAATCCACATGGCAAAGGCCTGTTTTTTTAGGAATCTCAAAGAAGGCTCGAAGGAATCCTGCTGAACTGGCAGAGAGTTCCGCAGCACAGGGCCTGCTGTACTGAAGGTTTGCTACCCAACAGAAGCAGACTGAACCTTAGTGGTGCAGAGAACCACCAGAATTGCCTTGTCATTGTGAGAATGTGAATAGATGCTAGGAGAGGATATATTTATTAGATATTACCCTTCCTTCCTCACATTTGTGAGCTTAACAGAGTGCCATCCCTTTGTAGTTTAAAGGGAAGCTTATATGGGCTAGTTTTAGCCCTTTAGTTTAAGTAATCCAGGATGCTTTAAGGCAGACTAGACGTTCCTAGTATTCCCTTCTTTTCTCCCACTTAAAATAACAATCACACAAACAGCTTTGTAAAAGGTAAAAATAACATTTACTCACTTGGAATACTTGTTGAAGAGTAACAGATCTATAGCAGCTTTATTCAGGCAGGCTTAAAATGATCATTGTTACAAAGACATACTTAAGTCTAGCTTAAAAATGGAGTCTGAGCTTGGAGCTCAGACTGCAGACGTTCTCATATTGCTTACACAGTGGAGAGAGGAAGATGAAGAGAGAGAGAACATACCCAGACAGGCAGGAGAATATATAGCTACGCCCTCCCCCATGTCAGGATACAGTGGGAGAATCTCTCACAGAGTTCTCTCTAGCAAGTTTACAGGAAAACTCTGTGTCCTTGAGCTCCTATCGTGTGCCTATCTAGCAAAACATGAATTGTTGGTTTGACACACCCAAATAAATATCCCACACAGAGGACCTCCGCTATCAAGGTGGAGCATAGGAAAACAAGGAGTCGTTAAGACCTATTAGAGGGTTATAACATGGGAAGCTGCCTCATATTGAACCAGACCATTAGCTCAGTATTGTCTACTGACTGGCAATGACACTTCAGGGTTTCAGGCAAGGGACCTTCAGGATACAAGGCCAATCCGCCATTGTTATGCTACAACCTTCTCTCTCTCTCTCTCTCTCTCTCTCTCTCACACACACACACACACACACACACGTATTAAAACACAGCCTAGGACTTTTATTGTATCAATAAATAAAACCAACTGGTGTTACTGGCAAAGCCCTGAGAAAAGAGACGCTTTTGTTTTTTGCAAACACTGAAATGTGGATCAATGCTGATTCTCTCTCTCTCTCACACACACACACACACACACACACACACGACATTTTGCTGCCTGAGGCAAAGGACAATATGGCAGTCTCCCCCAAAGCCCATACAGGACTCATAGCTGAATCTTACTCCAGTACTGATGAAATGACTGCATCTTCCACTGTACTGAAGGGCAGCAAGCCAGCATAAGGTGTACAGGGCAGGGCACATGGTACTCACAGCTCTGTTCACTCCCTGCCCCCACCTCTACGCCCCGAGGCAGCTGCCTCACTCTACCTCATCATAGGGCCACCCCTGCACACACTCATATACACATAAGCTCTACATACAGGAGGGGGAGTGATGCAAGAGGACACCTCATTCTCTCAGACACTGTCTACTCCCTTTCAAGCAGAGCTTCACCCCATAAAGACCAGAAACTTAGGGGGGGGTTTCATTCTTAAATGAAAGCTGAGGTTCTCAGGAAGCAGGAATGCCCACTGGTCTCTTCCCCACAAGTTCAGAATATTATGCATAGCAATGGAGAAAGTGGGTAGTTGTTTTTTTTGTTGTTTTTTTGTTCTCCCTCTCTCCTAAAAGTAAAACTCATGGCCATACAGTGAAGCTGAATGTTGGATGATTCAGGACAGACAAAAGAAATGACTTCTTTGTGCAATGCATAGCTAACTTATGGCATTCACTCCCACAGGAGGCAGTGGTGACCCCCAACTCAGGTGGCTTTAAAAGAGGATTTGATGAATTCATGGAGGAGGAGAAGGTTATCAATGAATACTAGCCATGATGGCTGTGCTCTGCCTCCATAGTTGGAAAGAGCAATACTTCTGAATACCAGTTGCTGGAAGCCACAGGAGGGGAGAGGGCTGCTCTTGTGCCTGAATCTGCTTGTAGGCCTCTGGCTGGCCACAGAATGGTGGGCTAGATAAGCCATGGGCCTGATCCAGCAGGCTCTTCTTATGTTGTTATGTAGGAAGAACTGGGAATTATGGTGGGGTGGGGGAGAAGAGAAAGAATTTATCCCCTTTCTCCTTTTGGTGGCTCAAATTCTGCAAGCAGGTGGAGACCTTTTTATTTGGACATGCCTTTGGGAATTGAATGCTTTTAAAAGAAAGGGCATCTAATTGTTTTGGGCTTGTTTTTCAAACTTAAAAAAATCATAGTTCAGTTGTTTTTTAACAGTTATATTTTCTTTGTTTTTAGCTTTTTCATTTTATTTGCGTTGTTTTAATTTGTGCAAGCTTCCTTGAATCTCAGTTTGGGGAAAAGGCAGGAATAACAACAACAACAAGAACAAGAACAGCAGCAGCAGCAACAACAACAACAACAATAGCAGCTGCGCCAGCTGCTTTTAGAACAGCTATCCAAACAACCCTAGAAAGGCGCCCTCCTGCTGGTGCGCGGGTACTGTCCCCTCTTCAGCAGCAGAGCATTTCCAGAGCGATTCTCAGCGCGTGTCCTATAGCTGCTGCTCTGAGCTGAGTGGCGCGCGGGGGCTCGCTCACTCTTCGGGACCAGCGCGCGCGCTCTCGCTCGCCTGCCAGCGCCTGCCCAGCCGCTGCAGCGCGTCCCTGCACCAGCCGTGTCGGGCAAGCGCGCAGCCGGCTGCTGCTGCTGCCTTCTCGCCGTCTCCTCCTCCTCCTCCTCCTCCTCCTGTGCGCCCCTGCGGAGCCCAGGCGCCCCAGCGGAGCCCGGGCGCCTCGGAACTGTGCCTTTCCCTCCCGCCGCCCTGAACTTTGGAAAGCCCGCTGCAGAGGGTAAGAGACAGGGGCCCGTCATCCATCATGGCTCAGGTGTGATGGACTAGTGGAGCTCCTGGCTGGGCAACCGAGCTCAGCTGCGTCCGAAGCAGACTTAATACTATTATTTTAAAAAAGAAGCTCGCAACCGCCTTGTCTTGGAAGGATCGTATATCTCTACATTCTCTCCCCACCCCCCCCACCCCAGTTATCTTAGCGCTGATGCCCCGCAGGTAGAAGGCTTTGGAAGAGATGGTGCTCACCTGAAGGAACGAAAAGTGGGGGGAAGAGATATATGTATATAAGGGGCTCTAAATACAATTCCAGTGTTTAAAGGTAAGATTTGTTTATTTATTTGCAGGAGGTGGCTGGGGAAACGGTTTTCATTTTTTAAATTTCCTATGGTCATTTCTCTGTTTAAGATCCCCCTCTTTTGCCCCTTCCCATTTCTGCTGAATGTAATTTTGGGGATCTGGAGGAGGGGACTTTCCCCCTCCCTTGCTTATTCTGGTCTTGCTTTTGAAGGGACTGAAAGATGAGTGAGAAAATGGATGCTCTCTAGAAGTGGGGGTGGTCTCTGCTCAGGTGTTGTTGCCACAATACATGCCCAATATATACCCAAACCCACACGGTTTAAAAAGGGAAAGGTATTGGATGGGCGGCGGCGGTTTGAGAAGTTGGAGAGCTAGTTTTGACCCTAACAGTTGGCGAAATGCTGCCTGTTATCATTGGAAAGAAATCTTGTGTTCATTTTATTTATTTATTTGAAACCGAGTCTAGGGAAAATTCACGGATCTGACCAAGATTCAGCAAAGGACTAGGAGGAAGCTCACAAGCAAGGCATGAAAGTGACAGCCTTTTAGAGTTTGTTCCCAGCAGCGCCCAGTACTGCAAGGTACACCATCCCTGATTTTGGAGGTCCTTTTGGCTGTTGTGGCCATGACACAAAGCCGTGTTTCTCTCTAGTGTGCCTTCTCTTTATTTGGAGTGTGTGTGTTGGGGCGGGAGCATCTTTGGCTCTTCAGGTGTTACCAACATCCCAGCCCTTATCATCCCTGGCCATTGGTCAGGCTGACTGGGACTGAAGGGAGCTGGGAGTCCAGTGACACCTAGAGAGGAAAAGGTTTCCCTAGCCCTGATTTAGAGCTTAGAATCATAGAGTTGGAAGGGACCTTGAGGATCATCTGGTCCACCCCCCTGCAATGCAGGAATAAACAGCTGTCCCATACAGGGATTGAACCTGCAACCTTGGTGTTATCAGCACCATGCTGTAACTAGCTGAGCTATCCCATCAAAAACATGAAATGGTCACCTAGGATCATATTGAGGATGTCTGCTAGAACTTCCGGTAGCTCTACACAATCTTGTAGAGTGCAGAACCTCCCCCTCTTCCCACAGCAACAGGAGAGATGCTTTAGCACCCACTAAAGACCCTCCCCAACATTTTTAAAAAAAGAAATGTGAGGCCCACATGCCCTCCAAAAGGTGATCTTGAACCTTGCAGCAACAAACTCTGCTGCTGTCTAGGACCACTCTCCAACAGATAACTTCCCCTGTGTGGTGATTTGCATGCCATCCTACCTGCGCGGTTCCATATAGCAAGAGGGTCATTGCATGTTTCAAATGCTAGATCTTTACAGGAAAGGAAGTGAAATGTTTTTGGTAACATTATGACTAAGACAGCAAATAAAGCAGGTGGAGAGACTGTCTCCAGAATTCTTGGGGAGGAGCTGTGTATCCCAGTGGGTAGAGCAGCATCTGCTCTGCATGCAGGTTCAGTCCCTAATGGCATCTCCAAGTAGGGCTGGGAAAGACTCTGGACTGAAACCTTGGAGAGCTGCTGCCGGTCAGTGTCAGCAATACCGGAGTAGCTGAACCTCTGTTTCTGTTTAATTATACCAGTTCGTAAGATCCACGAGGACTGGAATATTACTTGATTTCTAGCAGAAGGCTCATAGCTCAGTGGCAGAGCACATGCCTCGCAGGCAGAAGGCCCCAGTTTCAACCCCAGGGATCTTCGCATAGGGCTGGGAAAGACTCCCTGTCTGAAATCCTGAGGAAGCACTGCCAGTCAGCGCACAAACAATCTTGAGTTGCATGCACCAGTCATTCAATTGGGCATAAGGCAACATCCTACATTTTTTTCCAGTGAAATGTATCAGCGGTAAAGACGAAAAGGAAGCCTTACCTTCTCCCACAATGCACAACTAGCTTCTGGAACTTACTGCCACTAGACTGCTGGCTTGATTGTTTTAAAAGCGGATTTGACAAATCCATCAAGGGTGAACTCTCTTGATAGCTGCTAGCTACAGGAACTCCATGGAATTGCCATGTTACAAGGAAGTGTTTGGGGAGTAGGGGCTGGAATCTTGCCACTGTGTGGTGCTTGTGAGCTTTCCAGAGGCATTGAGCCAACCACGCCTGCAAACCATGGTCTGATCCAGCAGGGCTTCAGGTACATTAGCTTTTGATACACATAGATATTTCTTAAAAGGTAAGTTGCAGTAAAGCAAGTTTATAGTGAATACTTTCAGAGGAGATCACCAGGCTGAACTTTTCTACCTGTGTGATTGTTACAGAACTGTCAAATTCAGTTTGCATTGTTCTTGTTGAGAGTCTCTCCACTGAGAGTCAGGCTAATCATTGAGTGAGTCTTCTATTGGAAGCTTTTGCAGGGGTTGGGCGATGCTATGTGACTTCTTCTAGACTGTTTAATTACTCCTTGATTGTAACAAAACACCCAAGTAGTTTACAAGAAATATTAGAATTATCTATAAAAACAGTTAAAACAAATATTTTAAAACATGTAAACATTTTTTAAAAAAAGTAAAAACAACAGTAAACTGAAAACAGATTAAAACATGTCAGCAGAAATGTTTCTGGATAGGCATGTGTAAACAAAAATGTTTTAAGCGGACACCAAAAATAATACAGCAAACATGCCTGGAGACATCAGTAGTCAGTGCCACCAAACTAAAAGAAGAATTTCTTACAAGTGTGGAATAAGTATTATGTGACACCTGTAACACTGCCAGTTCCACAGATCGAAGTGGTCAAGTTGGAGCATGTGGGGTAAGGTAAACTGGTCCCAAGTTGCTACGGGCTTTATATACCTGTGGTAACACCTTGCACTTGACCTGGCAGATCAGCAACCAGTGTACATCTCTGAGTGTTTGGGCTCTTCTGCTGCTGTGAAGAAACATTCGTCCTTATCTGGCTGGCTCTCCTATAGTTGCCTCTTTTATCCCCAATCTGGCAGTGATGTCTCTTTGGAGCGTGAAGTCCAGGATCCCTAGGTTAGATTAATGTAAGGAGTTGTGCATGGGGATGCCTCTGAAGACAGTTTGGAAACCTAAGCTGGTGCAGAATTCAGCAGCCAGGTCGCTCCCTGGAGTGAGTTGGTTTGAGAACATAACACCAATCTTAGCTCAACTGGACTGGTGGCCAGTCAAAGGGCTTAATCCAAAGTGCTGGTTTGGCTCAAGCCTTAATGGCTCAAGACCACAGTATCTCAAGGACTGTCTCTCCCAATATGAATCATCCCAGGCCCTGCAATCATCACCTGAGGCCCTTTTGGCGTGCCCCAACATGGAAACGGGCCTTTTCTGTGGTGGCTCCCCATTTGTGCAATGCTCACCCCAGGAAGGCTCATTTGGTGCTTTCGCTATATATCTTTAGGTGCCTGACCAAAACTTTCCTCTTCTCTATGGCATCTTAAAAGAGTACTGGGTGGGTGGGTGGGTAATGTTTTAGTTTGTGACTATCCTATGTATTTTTTGCATTTTGATATTGTAAACTGCCTTATGATCTTTGGATGAAGGGCAGTATAGAAGTTTATTAAAAAAAAAAAAAATCCCGATGGGCACCCGTAGCCACCAAACTCTGACATAAAAAATGCTGCTCCCCTGCTTGGAGAGGTGCGGTCTTGGGAGGTGCGGTCAAGATGGTACCTTGCAGCTCTGGGCGTGGGGGCTAACCTTCATTTGGTCTGAGGTCTACATACGCCCTTGGCCCACACCCAGAACTGCATACCAGGGGTGGGTATGGACACTCCGCAATCATACACATGCGCACACACATTCAGATGATGCATCCATACACATGGGACATTGTGCAGATCAGCTGAAAAGCAGGATATCAACCCTTCCCTACGCATCAGATGACCTATCTGACAACTGGTAAAGGAGGGAAATTTTCACAACACCATTAGAGTGTTGAGCTGGGTGGAGATCCAGCCTGCTGTCTACTTTAATTGTTGTTTTTGATGCTATCAAAATCATTGGGGCCATAAAAAAATTAAAATTACTTGATTTACCTGATCCAGTCCCTGAGCTGGGGTTTGGCCATTCCTGTGGAGAGTGATGGGTGGAGCCCAGAAGAATTTGGAGCCAATACCTTTGATCCTGGTAACCTGATGGAAATCAACTTGGCCAGTACCATCCCTGACTGGCCAGCAATTTGTGAGGTAACCCTGATTAGTCAGTTGAAGAGCACATCCTGACTGATAAAGTACAGAAGGGCCCCTGGTATATTGGTAGGGACGGGATTCTGGGAACTGTGATAGAGTCTCCATTGGGGTATCCATTTTTCATACTTGGGTGATGATTTCAGAATGAGAATTTTCTAGAAAATATACAACCAACTTGCTTGGCACTTGTGTGTATAGTTTAACCTATGCCACACACACACACACACACACACACACAGGCTTCCAAGTTTGGGACAGAGCTCTCAAAACTGGGAGCGAGCCATCAAGAGGTCCAGAAAGTTTGTTGGGAGGTGTCTGACTGCAAATGGTGGTGACAGATGGGAAACTGCTCTGTAGCCTTAAACTGGTTTTTATCTGTGGTTTCTTTTTAGGGGGAAATGTAGTTCTTGTGGGGGTAGAGGTTGAAGCTAGGGATCTGAAGCAGAGAATTCTTAGCAACCACAAACTACAATTCCCAGGATTCTTTGGGGTGGGCAGCCTCAAGGGTTAAAGGGACATAAAGCTGATAAAGATTTGTAGGCACACACAG